CAATCACCATATTCTGAACAACATGCAGGTAAAACAGAGAAACGTTTTTGTCTTTGAACAAGCTGTCACAGTGATTCTAGCTATCACTAAACTTTGAAAACATAAGGAGCAAAATATGCACCACAGAGTAGACATGTTTGAACTCTCATACTCCGTTGACTAATGAAGGGCTCCCCTCTCATAGCTATCACCCTATACACCGTATTACAAGCATGAGACTCAGACTCAACACCACTTTTAAGCTGGCAAAACACCTGTTCTCATAGCTGGCATTTAAATAGTGTGACCTAGCAATGAAAATATTGACATTATATTTCCAGGGTCATGCCCTGAAATCCTGTTAACATTGTACCTTTAAGTTTCTATTAATCAGTAATTGTATCAGGGTAAAATGTTACCTCCTACTGCTTTTCCAGAAGTACAGAAAGATATTATCCAGTCAAGGGGATACATTTTTTAAGTAAAAATACCCACAAGTTAAAAGACAAATATCTCAATCATAAACACCCGGTTGATCATTTCTGACTAATCGCATTAGGAGGAAGGGGTTGGCTAAATCAGGAGACCAAGCTTACTCCCTCATTGTCTACAAAGTAGCTCCTGTACCATAGCCAGTACCCAAAGCTTCAAACTGAGCAGTAAGGAGGAACAAGAGTCAAGCCAAATTTCAAATATTACAATTTCCTTCTCCAGTCATTAGAGATTGGCATTATCTCACTTAATTTCTCTCTTCCTCCCCCACCCTTTCCCGTAATGCTAACTTGGGAGGCACCAGGAGCTACAGCACTTAAAGCTGTCCTGATTTTGAAGAATTTTCTTCCCACTCTGAAAGCTCAATGAGCATCTTAAATAGTGAAGTTTTAGATCTCTTTTAGTTACTTGTTGAGGAATTAGGAGGGAAGGTGCAAGAACTGTGTTTTGCTGTTGAATGTGAGAAGCAATGGCCCTGTGAGTAGAGCAGTGGGGGAGGGGGGGGGGGAAGGAAGGGTGAAGAACCCTCCTTCTTTTCATGTAGCTTTCCTAATACAGCTGTTACTGAAGGAAGTCTCCTGCAGATTATGCTCCAGTATTTTTGACTAACAGAACAGAGTTAAATACATATTACTTAAAAATAATAATAAAATGATAAAAAGCCTCCTAAAAGGCCTTGGTTGTTTAAGAATAGGATTTAAAATCCAAGAAAATATTTTAAAAGTTGAGGTTCCACAAAACCTTAGTCATATTTATGTAATTAAAAACAGTAATACAATACCAGCATTTACTTTCAAAAGGAATTAATAGTTCCCCATCACCTTTGTATTGTGTCAAGCATGTCACACTATGGATGTACCCAAGGCTCACCTTGAGCAAGTAACATATTGCAAGACAAACTTTTAAAAACTGTAATACAGATACAGGCAAAGTTAGCTAAAACACTGTAAGTGGTAACAGAGAAATTACAGGCGTTTTATCCTGAGCACCTGTGCTTTCTAAAATTGATTAGGACTATATAACCATTCTGTTTTCCTAAGCAGCAGGTGGTATAGCTAAAAGTATTTCTATGGAAGAACATTAAATCCATCTTACTATTGACCTAAAGTCAGAACAAAGAAAAAGAAACCACTTCTCCAAATCTTAGGAAGAATTCATTAGTTTCACACCAATTATCATTGCTTAACAGAGGCTACTAAAATATATGCTTTTAAAAAAGCTTTATGTGCAATGATGAAAGCTCCTATTACATTGGTACATTTACGTGAGCTGCCTGCTTAACTATGAGATTTTTAAACAGGAATTAAGAATGAATTTTCCATGTTTCTCCTAAATAATACTATAATCCTTACTCAGGCAAGGTGCTCATCAGTTTCAGAGTAAAGACTTCATAATCATCCTTCTTAGATATATCTGGACTCCTAAGCTATACCTCAAAAGGAAGATAGCTACATCAACTATAGCAGGGCTTTGCAACATTTTTGGGCAGAATGCCAAAAACACCTGCTACCTCAACTTGTAAGATGTTGGTGTGCCAGGGCAGATGGTGGGGGAGCCACAAGGGGCCGAATCCTCATTGTGGCAGTGCACCCCAACCCCTTCCCTGCCATCTGCCCCGAGGTACACATGCCAAGGAAAATGCCTGTGTGCCAGGCTCTGGCACCTGTGCTGAGGGCTGCCTACTCCTGAGCTATAGCACAGAGAAAGAATCTCAGCTCACTGTTCCTTAGGGCATCAATGTGTTTTGACCAAGTACCAGATCCACAAAAGAATGTAGGTACTTAAATATATCAAGACAGCACCAATGAGAGCCTTCAAATGTATGTTCAGGTGCCACACTGTTTTTTAGGTGCCAAAAGTTTCCAAGGCACCCCAACTTGCACCAATGACAGCAACACTACCACTCAAGTTTTGATATCAATAAGCCTTACATTCCTTTACCTAGCTTCCTGTTGGGGAGCAATCTAGCAGGTAATTTCAGAGCACAGGTAACAGAGCTGTCCTTTCAGTAAGACCCATGGCAGAACAGCTTTAACAGGAGGGACTAGCGGATCCTCACCTCAACATAGCCAAAATCCAAGTAGATAGAACACTCTCCTGATAAGACAGACCTGGTTTCACGTCCCTACCAAAATACTGCCCATTCTAGTGTTGAAATCACTAAGCAATTAGTGCTTAAGCTAAGTTATAGCTAATTCTACATAAAAGAATTCAGGGCTAAGAAATCTGTGCAAAGGTTGACACCTACATCTAGTTCAGAGTTAGACACACAAGCCCTTTTGAGGAGTAGGGTTTAGGTCCAACTCCTCAGCAGTTCTTATTGGCTTAGAGAGATCCACACCTAGCTCACTGACCTCCAAGGATCTCAGTGTCTTTCCACAAATGCTCTTCAAGCCTACAACACACTGAATAAGGAGCCTTCGTGCCTAATTCAGCACTGAGGACTCCAGTTAAGCATGGCAACACTAACATCCCTTTGTGAATCCAGCTCTGTGTTGCTTGGGATATTCTGCGTTTATTGTCAGCTGTGCACGCACACACACACCCACGCACCCTCTCCTCAGTATGAAAGGCCCCTGCCCTTGGAAATGCATGTGTACAAACTCCCTTGTGCCTATGGAGATGCGTCAAAACAGAGCCCCAGTGAAATCAATAGGGGTCTGCCTGCATACAAGCAGTAGCCATTTATCATCTTTCAACAGTAGTGTCTAAGGGCTGAGAGTCTACTAGGAATTACAGGTACTCAGTTTCATAATCCATCATTTAATGGTTAGTACTTCTTTCTCATAAAGAAAAAAATCAATATGAGCACACATCACCAAAAATACTTAAGTACCAAGCAGAAATAATACCTTCACTTTTACCTCTGAGCTTCAAAACAGGTGTTGTAGAAACCAACCCTTAATCTGATCCTTCACTAGCTGTGCCCCTAGCAGTAGTTACTCAAAGTTACAATACTAAACAATTTTTTTTAATCAAACAGCACTGTGAAGAGCCATCAAAATGCAGGTAAAATGCATTTTAAGTCAGGCATTTGATTACTGAGGAAGACTACAGTCCAAGAGTAAGGTTTTTAATGACTCCCACGTCTGCCTTACCCTCTTTCCTCCAGAATGTGAGTATTAAGATGACTAGAATTTAGGAAAGCCTACAGAAGCATAAACACCAAGTGTTGAAGCTCTGTGTTTTGGCTCATACTAGACAGAAGTACTCTTCAAGATTACCTTTGTCCATTTCTAGCTCCAGGAGGAAGAAAAATGCAGTTTAATAATTTTTTTTTTTTTGTCTAACTAGAGGCCACACCCAACACAAACTAATGACAGGAAAGCATGTTGATTCAAAGCTCTACAACAAGCATCTAACCCAGGGCAAAGTAAAACTTTCTCATTTTCAGGGAAGAAAAGAAACTCTTGCTCAATAAGTAGCAATTATGTTGTAGAATTTATATGCTGAGCACGACTGAATGTAAGAACACCAGATCAGTCAACCATAGCTTTAGCGCTTTTGAGTATGATTAACAGAATGAACTTTCAAAGGTCAATTAAATGTCAACACATTTTAAAGAGATATTCTTCTTAAGTTTGGTCAATGTGTAATGGCACCTTCTAAATCAGTAATGCCAGTTTTATATTAAAATTCTATACACCCTAGATTTGTGTATGCACATACAGGATACATAACCATTATTTTCTATAGGAGATTAATTAGTATTTACATTGTTGGCTTTAGTACTCCTAAGCTGTCTTTTATTAGCTGTGTTTAATCAAGTACA